TCTCTCTGCCAGCAGGGCAGGCTGGCAGTGCCCAGGAGCCCAGAAACAGTCCCCGTGGTGCCCCTTGCTGTCTGATCACCCCCCCTGCCCATCCCACCCTGCCCCATCACTCACTGGTGATGTTGTAGGAGATTTCATCATTCACCCCCGTGTCTCTGTCCATGGCGGTGACAGTCAGCACAGCAGTGCCCTGCAGGGACATGGCCATCAGGGCAGGACCTGACATCTGCAGCTGCCCTAATGCCTGGTGGCCCAGACACCGTGGGGCGTCAGAGCCCCCAGGGAGGGCCAGGGGTAGGGACGTGCTGCTGAGGCAGGTGGGCTCCTTACCGGGGCGCAGTTCTCAGGCACAGAGCCGGAATAGGGCTCGTTGAGGAACCGTGGGCCCAGGTTGGGCAGGTCGCGGATCGTCAGGGACAGGTAGGTGGAGCTCTGCTGGAAGGTCAACACGTTGTGCAGCAACCCCCCACCGTCCTAGGGAGCAGAGCACCCATTAGTCCCTCAGCCCCCTTACCTGGCAGCCCAGCACCCCCGGCCCAGCTGGCCCCCACCTCCGCAAGGATCTTGAGCTGGTAGAAGGTGTTCTTGGCATAGTCCAGCGAGCCATTGAGCACCACGCTCCCGTTGGACAGGATGTAGAAGAGCCAGTGATTCTTTGCGCTGTCTGGGATCACCTGAGCAAGGGACATCACCCTGTGTCACCAAGGCAGGCAGCAGAGGTGCCCCAGCAGAGATTGGGGCTCAACCCTTCTTCCAGACTTGGCTACAGGCTGTGGGGATCCTCTAGCTGCTGGCTTGTCCCCAGCTTGCAACTGTTGAGCACCTTGCTGCACAGTGGGTGCAGAGCCAGCCCTCCTGACCCAACACGTACCCCTGCTCCGTCAGAGCCACGGGGCTGCCCCTGGCTGGATCCCCCAGCACCTCTGCCCCACAGGGGGTGGCTCAGGGGTGGGTTTGGGGTATGGCATGCCCCGCTCTGCAGCGCTCTCTGCTCACCTCCTCGATGCGGTAGCTGACTTTGGAGGCATTCCCAGTGTCGCTGTCGTAGGCAAACACGGTGTAGATGATGCTGCCGAGTTCCATGTTCTGGGCACACAGAGGGATGGTGGTGGCATCACCCAGGAGAGCAGTGGGGGTGATGCTGGGCCCAGCCCCTGCCAGCCCTCCTCTGACCCTGCAGGGCTCCAGAGGATGCCCAGTGCCGTGGGCCACGCGGGGATGAGCTGCTGCCTTTGCTCACACCGAGCAGAGGCCAGAACCCCCCCTGTCACCTTCCCTGGGAGCAAGGGCTGCACCCCAGCCCAGGGACTGCCGGAGGGGCATCAGGGTCAGCCCCACACCCTGTCTGCACCCTGATCTGGCCTCACCCTGTTGTGGGCTGAGTGACAGCTTGGACACTCCCTGACTGGAAACTCATCACAAGGGCAGAGTCCCAGCCGCATGCCAGCGCCTCAGACTGGCACAGAGGCACCCGTCAGGAGCTGCCTGACACGGAGCACTCCCAGGTCAGCCGTGCCGGCTGCACCATCACCCCACGCCCAGGCACACTGTCACCGCACACCCATGCCACAGGAGCCACCCAGCACCCCTGCCCTGCTGCCCACGAGGGCCAGGAGGTCCTGGGGAAGTACCTCAGGGATGGAGGTTTCGTACGGCAGGTGCTGGAAGACCGGGGCATTGTCGTTACGGTCCTCCACGATGATCGGCAGTTTTCTGGAGACCTACCGGGTGTCAGGGAGGGCACAGGATGAGTGTGGGAGATGGTGCCCGGCAGAGCTGGGTGCAGTTCTGGCACTCTGTGCCCACCCCTCCTCGGAGCCAGCTAGCATTGTCAGCCCCTGGGCAAAGACTACCTCCAGCATCCTTCCCCACTGAGCCTCGTCCACAGCCATGCTGAGGCCCTGCTCCCCTCCCCATCCCCATTCCCCTCTGCAGCCATCCAGCCCATGTCCTGGCACTCACCGCATCATTCACCCCATCAGACACCTCGACGGTGATGGTGAGCTTGGGCTGGAGCTGAGGGGACACAAAGCAGGACTTGGTCAGGGCCAGGTGGAGCTCAGCCCTCGGATGGCTGAGCCCCAACGCCCTCCCACCCACCACCTCCGGGTGGGATGCTCCTCTTAGATGGCTCTGTCCCCTGGAGTCAGGCTTTGGGGCCAGAGAATGACCCACAGTACTGCCATGATCAGCTCTCCCACGGGAATCATGGCTCTGCCCTCTGTCCCTGTCACCCCAGACCCATCAGCTCAGGCAGGGACATCTGCCCTGGTCTCTGCCATCACCTCGCGGTCCAAGGAGTTCCTCAGCATCACATTGCCTGTCTGGGCATCAACAGAGAAGTAGAAGGCCTCTGGCCCACTGATGCTGTAGGTGAGTGGGTCCCCGTCTATGTCAATAGCCGTCAGCTGGAAAGCTTGCTGGCCTGCGGACATGGACAGCATCAGCCCCTGCCTGGGGCACCCCCCAGCTGCTCCTCCTGTACGCCGGGGACTCCCCAAGTCTGCCCCACTCACCCAACTCCAGGTCCTCAGGCACGTAGACAAAGGTCATGTTGAAGAAGGGGGCTGTGTTGCCTGAAACTACAAGGAGGAGGCGTGCTGAGCACCACCATCGCACAGGGCTCTGCGTGCACCCTGCACCCCTGTGCCCCACAGCACCTACCCAGCTCCCAGCTGTGGTTTGGATCTCCAGGGGAGGCAGGGGAACCCACCACCCCTCACCTTCCTCGAGCTCATCCCACACCTCCCACATCTGGACCATACTAGTCCTCCAGCTGCAGCACCCATGCTGGATGCTATGCCCACTGCCCAGCCCCCTGCCTGCTCTACCTTGCCCTGGGGCAGCAAGGTTGCTGTTGGATCTCCAAGGTGCCAACAGGATGGACAGCTGGTTTTGGGGTCCCAACTGCCCTCAGGGAATTTGGAACAAGAGTTGGGGGCTGAAAGCACCTCCAACGCCTCCCACCCGCCCGTGCCAGTCACTGAGCAAAGTCCTTACCTGCCGTCAGGAGGAAGGGGAGCAGCACCAGCAAGTGCCATGCCATCCTTCCAGCGAGCCTGTGGGCACACACCAGAGAACAAGCGCCTGGGGCTGACAGCTGCCTGCTCCCACCAGACACCCCGAATCCTTCCTGGGGAGCAGCTACTGGGGCAGAAGGGGCTCTGGTGGGGACAGTTCCCTCTGCTGAGCTGGGCTGGTGAGCAAGCACCAGACTCCATGCCTCACCGCCGGGCACAGGCTCCTTGGGGACATGGCATGGGGGGACAGAGTTAGCCTCCAGGTGCTGGAGACCGTGGGGGTGCTTGGGGATCCCAAGAGCCTCTCCTGGGCATGGCTGGAGGCTCCATCACTCAGGCCCAACAGGGCCACTCTAAGCAGTGCTTGGAGCCCAAGAGCAGTCCGTGACACCGCCGTGGTGCCCCCCTCCTTGTGCCACGGCCTGCGGGCAGCCCCACAGCCTAGAGACACCCCTGCCTCCCCCCGCCATGGACCGCAGTGCCCGTGGGGACCGGAGCGGGGCTGACATCCCTTACCTGCGGCTGTGTCGCTGGGGATGCTGCCAGGCAGGCTGCTCTGTGCTCACACCCTGGCACTGCCAGAGACCTTTGCCTCCTGAAGTAAACAAGTTCATCAATTATTAACTGCAATTAAGGGGTGAGACATCCCTCTCTCATCTTCCTTATTCCTTGTGCTCATCCCCCAGCTCCCACCCAGCCCAGCCCCATGCTCGCTCCCCAACCCCAGCCCCCCAGATCCCCATGCTGGGTGCTGTCCCCCAGGATTCAGCCACGCCAACCTGCACCCATGGGACTCCGGCTCCCAGGAGGGATGCAAAGCCTGTGGGGATGCAGAGGGATCCCAAACCACCCCGGGAGACCAGAGAGGTCCTGGGGAATTGCCTGCATCCCCTGGGCTGGGGACACCGAGGTCCCACCAGGACAGGGGGTGGGCACCAACCCAGTCGTGCGGCTACTGGGGCGGGTGCCTGGGGCCCTCTGCCCCCCCCTGCCACCCGCTCCCCTCCCCGAGGGCTCGGCCCAGCCTCCCTGACCTACTTTGGACCCGCTGGGGACAAGGGTGGAGTGTTCAGCGCTGCGCAG